CCTCCGGACCCTGAAAACCCTTAGTCTAGTTTTTGTTTATAGATTTGCCTGTCTGGGCATTTCATGTAAATGGAATCATACAAGTCCAGAATGTGATCTTTAATGTCTTATTTAGCATACTGGTTTTAAAGTTCATCCGTGCTATAGCGTGTATCAGTACTTTCCTTTTTATGGCTGTATTACATTCCATTGTATGGACATGCTACATTTTGTTTATCAGTTGATGGACATTTGCTTTGTTTCCACTTTTTAGCTCTTATAAATAATGCTTCTGTGAACTTTCAGGTGCAAGTTTTTGTGTGAAAACATGTTTTCAGCTCTTGAGTATATACCTGGAATGGAATTGCTGGGTCATATGATAGCTCAACTTTTTGAGGGACTATCAGACTCTTCTATGTAGCTATACCATTTTATGTTTGTACCAGCAATGTATGAGATCTCTGATTTCTCCATCCTCACCAATACTTGTTGTTTTCTTTCATTTTGTGTTATAACCATCTTAGTGTGAATGAAATATTCACTCATTGTGGTTTCGGTTTGTATTTCTATATTGACTAATGATATCTAGCATCCTTTCATGTGCTTGTTGGCCAATGTATATCTCCTTTGCAGAACTCTCTATTCAAATGCTTTGCCCTTTTTAAAATTAGATTTTTTTTTTTAGTCCTAAGAATTTATTTATATCTTAGATAGTAGATCCTTATTAGGTATGTGATTTGCAAGGGGCACCTGGGTGGCTTAGTTGATTAGGCATCTGACTCTTGATTTTGGCTCAAGTCATGATCTCACAGTTATGAGATTGAGCCCCACATTGGGCTCTGTGCTGGGCATGGAGCCTACATGAAATTCTCTTTTCTTTCTGTCTTTCTGTCTTTCTCTCTCTCTCTCTTTCTCTCTCTCTCTCTCCCCCTCTCCCTCTCCCCTCCCTCTCTCCCCTTCCCCTACTTGCTTGCTCTTTGTAAAAAACAAAACAAAACATGATTTGGAAATATTTTCTTCTCTGCATTGGGTCATCTTTTTACTTTCATGATAATGTCCTTTGAAGCAGAGAAGTTTTTAATAAGTTCAGTTCATTTTTTCTTCATTTGCTTATCTAACAAACCATTGCTTAATTCAAGGTTGCAAAAACCTATGGCTTTGCTTCCTTTTAAGAGTTTTAATTATTTCATCTCCATTTTGAGGTAATTTTTGTATAGTGTATGAGTTAAAGGATCAAATTCATTCTTTTGCATCCAGTTGTCCCAGCACCATTTGTTGAAAAGACTATTCTTTTCCTCCTAAGTGGTCTTTGATACCCTTGTTGAAATTTAACTGACTGTAGATCTATGGGTTTATTTCTGGACTTTTTAATCCTATTCCATTTGTCTATATGTTTATCCTTATGCCAGTACCATGCCATTTGATTACTGTAACTTTAAGTTTTGAAACTGGAAAGTGTGAGTTCTCCAGCTTTGTTCTTTTTCAGTATTGTTTTGGCAATTTGGGGTCTCTTATTTCCATATAAATTTTGGGATGAACTTATTCCATCTCTGCAGAAAAAAGGCAGTTGGAAAGGAAAATTGAGGAATTTCATCACAATGAGTTTTGCGCATTACTGTTGTGTTTCTAAGATTTTGTAGTCTTCAATATAAGGATATTTTAGCATAAATTTTTTTTTTTTGCTTTGTGAGTTTTTATTTTAATACCATTTAGTATAACACACAGTGTTATATTAGTTTTAGGTGTATAGCATAGTATTTTTTTTTTAATTCGTTAATGGCTGCTGTATAGGAAAGTTGTTGATTTTATCAGGGATAAACAAATAGACCCAAAGAATAGAATAGAAAACCTAAAAACACCCACACATAGATGATTATGTGACTTAGGACAAAGGCACCATGGGAGTTTAATGAGGGGGGAAAATGGTCTTTTCAATAAATTGTGCTGAAACCATTGGATTTCCATATGGTATGACGTGAGCATTTGGCCACTACCTTATACCTCATACAAAAATTAATTTGAGATGAATTATAGACCAAAATGTCAAAGGGAGAACAATAAAGCATCTCTAAAAATAGTTTATTTTCATAACCATAGTCAAAGATTTATTGAAAAGGCCATAATTTAAAAAAAAAAAGGACTGTATTTAAATTAAGAACTTGTTCATCAGTGGATTTTACTAAAGAGTGAAAAGACAAGCCGTAAACAGGAGAAGATATTTATGACATATTATTGACAAAGGACTATATAAACCAATAGAAAAATGAACAAAGATAAATAGGGACTTCAAAAAAGACTATATTTGAATGTGTAATAAATATATTCATCATGAGAAAAATAATCAAACCACAACATAATCTGCAGACCCATGAAAGTGTAAAACAATGATAATACTAAATGTTGGTAACAGTGTGGAGCAAGTGAAACTCTCAGACATTGCTGGTAGAAGTGTACAGTAGTCAGCTACTTTGGGAAAATGTCTCATCTTTTTACTAAAGCCAAATTTACATCCACCTTATAACCCAGCAATTCCATTCCTAGGATATACCCAGGAGAAATGAGTGCACATGTCTCATACCCACTAAATATATGTAGCATTTTCATAGTATCCCTACATATAGGAGCCTCATTGGAAACAATCCAAATGCTGTGTAGTAGAATGGATTGTATCCATTGGATAAATTTTGTTGTTTTTATACAGCGGGATACTAAACTACAGTACAAAAGAACACATGCTAATGTTACATACAACCATATGGATGAATCTCACAGACACAATATTGAGTGAAAGAATCTAGACAGAGAAGAAAGCATATTATATGAGGGCATGTAAGGTGGAACAGGTGAAACCAGACACCGTGTTAACAGTTGGTTGGAGTGGTTATCTCGGGATTCGGGGGAAGGAAGAGGAACAAATAAGCTTTCTGTGATACTAGAAATGTTTTATATTTGGTCTGGTTGGTTGGTACATGAGGTATAACATGATAAAGATTCATTGATCTGTACTCATGCCAGGCATTATTTGCACTTCACGGTGTGTATATAGTTTAAAAAGTAACATGCATATATAGAAATTGAATAAAATAGGCACCATACTTAGACCAAATTTTTCGGTTCAAAACTTGCCCTTTACAAAAGCTAGATGAAAGATGTTGACAAAGGGCAACCAAGATACCGTCAGTGTTTTACAGAACTTCACAAATAAGTCGTAGGAGAGGAAACCTGCGGGCAGGGGTTGTCTTTCTTTCCAGAGAGAAGAAAATCATGGTGAGTATTCTGAAAAGGAGTTTCAAAGCAAGTGATTACTCAGAGATTTTAAGTCTCTTGCCTAGCAGTATATGTGTGACAATTGCTACCATGTTCTAGTGGGGATATGGTACGTTTGAGATGGTAGACTGATAATCTGCTCTGGGGCATTTCTTCATTGCCATTAAAATCCCTTTCTTTGCCTCTTCTGTAAGGGTCACTGAACATTTGAGCATATATAGCTCAGTAAAATTCAGTTATACCAGCATTGTAGTTTTCCTAATTTCCTAAAGTTTGGTAAACTGTACTTCACAGGCTTTTCTATTTTTACAGGAATACAGGGTCAAAAACTAGTAAAAGAGAACAGTTAATTCCTAAAATTCTGTTCCATGATTAACTTCATTTTGTTAGTATGAATTTAAATGTTCCTGGGTCATTAGTACTTTTTAAATAATGAATGGCAATGCTGATAGTTCAATTTTATGATTACCTTTCTGTTCACTAATCAATATGTATTTGAGAGAATATTTTTAAGATAAAGCATCTAGAGTATCTGTTTCATTTTACAGTATAGAGGTTAATGCAGCTAAGTAGACTAACCCTTAATGTCACATGAGAATCATCTTAAACTAGTTCCAAGGTAGGTAAGGTTGAGTGGAAAGTATAAATAGTAATAACAGAGGCTGTCAGGAAGCAGGGCCCTCGGTAGTCTCAGATGAATGCAAAAGTGGTGTTCTTTGGAGAGTGTTCTGTACTCCCTACCTCAGATCTTGTCGGACTGGAATTCTTCAAATGTTAATTCAGATCCAAGTACCTCTCTCTGTCTTTGACCTGTCCTTAGGAAAGGAGGCAAGGAATAGGCATGGTAATCCTCAGTCCAGAGCTCTTACTGCTAATGACTTTGGGCTCTTTTTCCTGCCAGCACACCTCCCTATATGTCCTCAATTCGGATTGCTCCACTGAGGAAAAGCTCTTCTGCCTCTGATACCAATTGGACATTAGCTTCTATTCTTTTTAGCATGTCTCATCTTTATGAGGATAAGCAAAGAGTATTATTGCAATAGTTAATGGAAGGAATCTTAAAGAAAATCTAGTAAAATAAGTAAAATTACTGTAAAATAGAGAATGAAATGTTGGGAAATCTGTGCATGTAAGCAAGTTGGCACTGAGTAATCATAAAAGAAGAGACGTGCCTTTGCTGATATTTAGGAACTCATTGAAGTCCACGTCAATTAAGTGACCTATTGAAAACTGAAATGTCTATAAAAGATATAATCTGATTTATGACTCACCTATGGAAAAGTGCTGTTTTTAGTGCTGTAGAGTAGAATTTCTTCATGTAATCCAAAAATGGAACAAACAGGACGAATACCTGAAATAATATGTATTTTTAGTTCTGAACAAGAGAACAGGGAAACAGTGCTAATTAATGAAAGAGCATGTTTGTAATGTAACACGATTTAACCCTAGAATTAGGTTACAATACACTCAGTGACTGTGAAGCACAGTAAAGAAGTCTAAGGGATTAAACCGAACATTTTGCTCTAAGTAATGAAACTGAAAAACTGTATTTCATAAACAGGAGAGTTTTTGGCAGAAAACTTAAGGTCACTCTGTTAATCCTACAAATGTCTGATATTCTTTTTTAACATGTATATTACTGTGTAAAATATTAGGGAAACATTTTTACATTGTAAGCATTTCAGTAAAAACTGATGGTATTTCTGTTATTCCAAATTACATTTTCCTTTTTTCGTTTTTTTCTTTCCCCCTAGGAAACTGACTGGACATTCTTTCCACATGGGCTATAGCATGGCAATTTTGAATGGCATTGTAGCTGCTCTTACTGTAGCTTGGTGCCTCATGTAAACCTACACTGAAGCAATATTTTTGGCAAAACTTAGTCATGATTGCTTTGTAATAACAGGGAAGAACATCATTTGCCTACTCAGAAGACCAAGAAACCTGCTGTTCATTATCGGGTTCAGATACGTGTCATATCATCGACATTATGGAGGACCATCTTTTTTTTTTTTTTTTTTTTTTTTTTTTTTTTTTTTTTTTTTTATATCATCGACATTATGGAGGACCATTTTTTTTTTTTTTTTTTTTTTTTTTTTTTAATGGAGGACCTTCATAAACATCATTCTAGAGCTAGGCATTGAGAATATCTGAGTATTAAGTTTCAAGTAATTTCTTAAAAGTGTAAGATGTTTACCTCATCTTTTTACTTTTGTGTGTGTTGTCCTTCTAAATTATAGAAAACATTTTAATGGAGATAAAACATGAAAACTTGAATACAGGGCAATGCTTACTTTGCTATCTATAATACTACATTTTTGCTAAGAAATACTAGTAGTACTGTTTAACTGAAGTAGAAATATTTCTTATTTATTCATTAAATGAGGAAAGCAAACAATGCCTACTACTTTGACATTTTATAGAAGCTACTTTTAAATCAGAATATTTAGTTTTCAGTAGTCATATAATCAGTAGAAGGGTGCATTTATATTTTTTAATGGGGTATATAGTTCCTTATGTGTTGTTTTTTTTTTTTACATATTTTCCTACTACATATTGAATTTGTATGTTTTTAAAATTGTTAAATCTAGACAAATGTAAATGTTATTTTTAGTTGGTGCAAACCTAATACCTACCATTTTAAATAAATAATTTGTCTTTTAAAAAAAGAAGAAAAACCCAAAAAACAAAAACAACATTAAGATCTGAGTTTAAATTAAATAAACCTATTTTAGCAAAAAATGACTGAAAAACAGTAAGTTACTTAAACCATTAAAATATTAAGAAATTTGAAATTGTTCACTATTTCTGTTCCCACAGTTTCAATATTTGTCTTTGTATATATATAGTTACTCCAAACAGAACTGATACAATTTTTTTAATAAATATAAATCTGAAATTTTTATATTTAGAAGTGCTTGAACTACTTTGTTTTTAATCTCAAAATTTTAGTTACCAAAATAGAAAAAAGGTATTTTGATAAAAGTGTATATGTATATAATTTTTTATATATATAGTTTCATAATTTTCCTATTTAAATGTTCTATGATTGTGGTGTTAGTTTTTGTTTTCATAACAATTAGGCTTAATTGTTCCCACTTTCTAAATACCTGTTTAGAAGGTCGCTTCAATTTTAGAAAGATAGGCTATTTAAAATGCTATTTTCTCTGGCCATAGAACAACTTATCTTAGGAAAGCATTGTGTAGTGAAACTACTTTATTCAGGCTGAATGGGAAATGAATATGTGCAGTATGTTCCTGTTATCTGCTAAGTGTTGTTACTGAGTAAATGATTTGTATTTCTCAAAGTCTTAACACTCTTTTACTACTCAAAATCCTTTCATTAGAAATAACAAATTTTGCTTCAATTTATCTGAAGTGTTTAGATTAATATGGGGGGAGATGTGTATGCGTAGATGTGTGTGTGTGTGTGTATGTACACATACATACATATACAACATGGCTTAACATATTCCTTCCCAAAGTGGTTGTTGAAATGAATTTATTTTCACTCCCTGCCTTTCTCTTCATACCCTCCCAGTTCTTCCATTGCAAAATAATGTAACAAAATTAGTTTTTCTTCTCTCCACCCTTCAAATCCCCTTCCCTCAAATTTGGATAGCTCCTTCTAGATTTTTGTGTCCTAAAACTAGGAAAAATATTACAGTTTACTTTTATATATGTAGATATCTATAAGATACTACATGCATATAAAATATAAATATATATAGCTATATATCTTTAAGATCGTTCTTTTGGAACCCTGTTTCTGCTGGCCTAGCACTTCTTTTTCTTGGGAAGTTCCTCTCTCCAGTCCATCATAAGGTCCAAATATAAATCGTCCTACTTCCACAGCAGAGTGATTGACTAAGGATAGGTACATAACCAAAGTGGGGACAGTCTAGTTTTTCATCTCTCTTGGCCTCGGTGATCACAACAGGGGTGCCAGCAAGGTTGGATTTCAGTGAAGACCCTCTTCCTGTTTTATAGAGAACTGCCTTCTCATTGTACCCTCACATGGTGGAGAGAGGGCTAGCTGTCTTCCTCTTATTCTAATTTCATCATGGGGCCTCCACCCTCATGACCTAATTACCTCCCAAAGGCACCACCCCCTAATACTGTTGTATTGGGGGTTAGAGTTTCAACAAATGAATTCGGGGAGGGGTCAAACTTCAGTCCATAAAAATAGCCAGTTTCAAAAGTAGGTTCTTTGATAAGATAGGTTTCTAGTAAAACATTTTAAGAGATTTTCTGTATTTGTCCATTTTTCCATTTCTGTTCATGTTCCTGATTGTATCAGGACCATATATTGCCAACAGCAGAAACCATCTGGCTAAACTTGAGGAAAAGGGAATTTATTGGAAGGATATCTAGTGCCTTTCAGGACTGGTGGTCAGGAGTCAGGACAGTATTAGTGGTGGAAAGTACTAGAGAAGGAAGCAGCCTGTTTGATTGTGGGAGCAGCCTAGTCAGAATGATACAATGAATTCTTCCTTTCATTTGTTTTTGTTCCTTGCAAGATTAGCTCAGGGTTCAGAGTCCTTGGAGAGAGTGCTCAATGGGCCAAGGTTGGGTCATGTGCCTGTTCTTTAGACTTCTGTAATTTAAGGTCGCGTCTGGAATTCTTCTGGGATGGGTGACTATATAATCACCAAAAATGACAAATATTCACTACAGTTCACTCCTGGCTGTTCAGTTTCCACACACATTCCATTCCTTTTATACTTAAATTTCCAAAAGCACTCATGCCCAACAGTGCACCTATTGCTTACCTATATATTCACGGCCAAGGCCTTTGGATTATGTTCATTTTTCAAGTTTTGCTACATTCTCATTGATTTTCTGCAAATTGTGCTAATTAAACAGTCATTTTAGTACTATCAGACATCAGAAAGAGATGGGAAATTTGTTAAAATACATGTTATATATGACAGCAAGGAAATAACAGGTGGAAGTTACTGCCTTATTTAAGTGCCTTAGACTTTACTTCTTCATCTATTCTTTAATTTTTGTTTTGGTTACTACCTTGACCAACTAAGCTTCTTCCCTAATAGAGTGACCAAATTTAGACAGGTCCAAGCTCTTGTTTCTTTTACCACTATATGTGGCAACGTAAGAACACCAGAGAATCTTCAGTTTTCCATCCATACTCTTCCCTGCTCTTATTTGTGAAGCAACTGTACCATAAGGTTAAAACACCTCAACTAACATGACAACCCTCTTTTTTTGCCAGATTACCAGTGGCATAAAGAATCCAAAATTACCATGTGGCAGTTTGAATCCCAGTTATTTTCAACTAATTTCTTTTGAACTCCTAAATACCCAAATCTATAAAAATAGTAGAGTCTGGAGTCAGAGGAACAAAAAGCAAATATTTTATGAGAGGATAATTGGGTGAAATAGTAGGAGGCTTCTTAGTTCTTAGAGCTAATATAGGAACAGGAGAAATAGCATTCAAAATCAGTTGTTGAGGGGCGCCTGGGTGGCTCAGTCGGTTAAGTGTCGTCCGACTTTGGCTCAGGTCATGATCTCATGGTTCGTGGGTTTGAGCCCCATGTCAGGCTCTGTGCTGACAGCTAGCTCAGGGCCTGGAGCCTATTACAGTTTCTGTTTCTCCTCTCTCTCAACCTCACCTGCTCATGCTGTCTCTCAGAAATAAATTAAAAAAAAAAAACATTAAAAACAAAATCAGTTGTTGAATATAAATATACACTGCATTTGGAGTGTTGTCTCTCAGCTGGCTTCATAACTAAGTCTTCAAGCACTTTATCTTATGTCTTCTGTGTAATAAGTTCCTTGGCTACAACAATGTTGTATAGGAATCCATGATAATATAGAATTATGTAGTAAATCCATAAATGATGGTGCTGCCAGGAATGTCATGGGCAAAAAAAAAAGCAAAAAACCCATAATGTCTACCAATGAGGACATTCTTCTGATGAAATTAGTCGGCTACCAGGTAGCTGGCTGACCCACCGAGATATGATACCTACCAGTAGAAGTGCTATCAGCAAAAGCAAAGTGGGGAAAGTAGAGAAGGGGAGGACGTGGAGGCGGCAATAGTCAAAAAAGCCTCTGTAAGTGGGGTTTGTACTCTATCCTTGCTTATCCTGGCACTTTGTTAATACTCTCATTTAGCACTGGCATGACAAGATATTAACATTTACAGAAAAGGTTATCTTGTCTAATTATTCAGGGCCTCTTTCACAGCAAGGGCTTTGCTGTGATTATTCACATAGCTAAGAAACATTCTCACATTCTGGATCCATTTTAAGAGATCCACCTATACACTCCTTCCAAGCTTTCTTAAGTTGACACCAATCCTTTTCCAAGCACCTGAGAATCCAGCCAAACCCCAAATTCACTTTTCATGAGTAGTCATAATATTTTTTCATACTGTATCCCTTCAGGCCAAGGAGACAAAATGAACTGCTCAAGGCTGCTCCCTAGGAGGTCTTTCCTTTCCTGTCGTTTGCTGCCAGCCATGAACAAGGAGTTTAATGCTCCTCACCACCTCATATGTGGCTGGTAGTAACATTACACAGGATCACCTGTAAGTCAAGCTTGAATTTTTTTCCAACATCAAGTTATCCATAAGGAGTTCTTGTTAGGTGACCGTTGTGAATTGAGTGAAAAGAGGCAGCATGGCCAGAGAGCATCCTGGGAATGTGATCACACAATTTACTCGTGCCTTTAGGACTGGCTCAGGACACTTTTTCTGGATGGTAGAACTCAAAGGATATGCTTATGTCAGTGATTCTCAACTGAAGGCAATTTTGCTTCTCAGGGGTAAAAATACAACAATTTAATGAAATGTTTAGAGACATTTTTGATTGTCACAATTGCAGAGTGCTACTGGCAACTAATTGATAAGCCAGAGATCCAGCTAAAGATCTACAATGCTCAGGGCAACTCCCCACAAGAAAAAGTAATTTGGGCCCAAATATCAGTAGTTCCAAGGATAAGAATCCCTGATTTATGTTTATGTCTAGATAATATCCTGTTTAGAATAGACAGCTGGGAT